TTTCTGCAGCTGCTGGGCAGAGTGGGCGCATGGGCCAGGTCATCCTAGTAGCAAACTGAGTGCCAGGGGCCCCGAGTCAGGGGCCCTGCAGCTGCCCGGATCACTGCCTGCCCAGGAGAGTCAGGACCTCCCCTCCTCACTCCTCCTTGGTCCCTGGGCAGTAGAGAGCTGCACGGTTTCTGTGCCCAGGCTTGGTGGCATTCAGCCCAGGGCTTATCTCTACTTCAGTGAGTCAGATAACGGGTGACTGCCCAAACCCCTACCCCCTAGGTGCCCTTGAAGAGCAGCTCCGGCTGCAGCTTCACCCGACAGGAAATCCCCCCGCCCTACCTACATGGGGCTGCCCTGGCTCTGAGGACAGGCAGCAGAGTGAAATTGTGAAACCTGCCAGGTGTACCCGCAGTGTTGTCAGTTCCGTCCTGCCCCCCGCCCCCCACCCCAAACTCATGCCCATCTCTCTCATTATTCCCCACCCTGGACTCAAGTCAGAACTGGAACGGCTCAAACCGGGCCAGTTTCACCTGTTCTTAGGGGACTAGGGCGTGGGGCCTTGTTTCCATGGACAACACACTGGCATAGGCAGCCGTACTGAGCTAATGAGGTATGTTTCCTGGGCCTTGGAAAGTGTTTCTGCACTTGTACTTCCTGCTGGGTCTCCAACAGTCGTGGGCTAATAGTGAGAGGAACCTAGATCAGAAGTTGGAGCTGCCAGGCTAACCCTTTTCTGTCTCTCAAGGTGAGGGAGGGGCTTGTTCCTTGTCCCCTCAAGGCAAGTGCTCTGCATCAGCACAGCTGTCCCCATGGCAGTTCCAGCCCCACTGGCTCCCAGCTCCCTCCCGACAACACCCACCCGACCTGCAGCTGGGGTGGGTCCAGGCTGGCAGTGGGGCATCTCACTGGTTTCTGGTCGCCTTGTCTCCTCCCACAACCCGCCTTCTGGGCTTCCAGGGAGCCCTTTCAGAGCGCTGGCCAGCCCCTCTCAGCTGAAGGAAGCCCTGTCCGCCCCTCTACCCCTGACCTCCATCAGTGCTGCTGGGCCGGCCACCTGCGTCTGCCCTGCAGGTTTGGTTTTTTTTTAAATCCTCACCTGAGGACATTTTTGCATTTATCTTCAGATATAGAGCAGGAGGCAGAGAGGGGGGAAGAGAACGAGAGAAACGTGATGTGAGAGAGAGACATCGAGTGGTTGCCACCCACACGACCCCAACCGGGGCCAAACTGCAGCTGAGGTACGTGCCCTTAGTGGAAACCGAACCCAGGACTCTCTGGTCCGTGGGCCGACGCTCTAACCGCTGAGCCAAATGGGCCAGGGCTGCCCTGCAGGTCTTGACGGTGCCTCTGCTCTGCTCTCATGTCTCCCAGGAGTGCTCTGCCTTCTTTAGGCCCTTGGTAACTTCCTAATGGGCATTTAGGGTTAAAGGTTACCTCTTCCCTGACAACACCTGTCCCTTGCCACTTCCCCAAATATACAAGACAGTGAATGACGCTTTCCTCACTGCTCCTGGCAGTGACATGCTCTACCTAAAACCTCACAAAGAAAATTTCAGGCCAAGATGGCTTCACTGAAGTCTTATCATGTATTTAAGGAAGAAATAATACCATGTTGCGCAACCCTAGTTTTATTTGCAAAAGTTTGTTCATGGTGAAAGGATTTCAAACATTATGGGACAGATCAAGCAGGCTGTGTTTGGGGCCGGGCTGCTGGGTCCTGGGGGTGTGGGTGTGATCTGACCATGTCTTCGAAGGGGGTGCCAGTGATGCGGATGAGTAAGGTGGAGAGACTTAGGGGACCTGGATCAGAAGAAGGAAGAACGTGCCCAGGCAGCTGTGTTCAGAGCGGAGGTACGGCTATGGGCTCGGCTGTGCGGGGACCTGTGGAGCTGGTGTGGGAGGGGAAGCAGTGGGGAACACGGCTGGGAAGGGAGGAGATGGCACGGAGATCTGGGAAGGATGTTCCAGAGGGGCCTTAGGCAGTGAGTCAGATTTAAGGCGCTTGGGCTGGGTAGGGTGTCTCTAGATCTCCCGGGATTCTACGCACCTCAGGCCTGGCCTGCTCGCCCCCCACACGCGCTCTCCAGGTCACAGTGCACATGGCTGTGAAGGTGGGAAGCATGAAGTGACGGGATCAGAGCTGTTTTTAGAAACCAAGTGCCACTCATACATTCTCATCTCCTGGGTGGGAATGCAGGGCGGTGGGGGAGGGGTGTCAGGAGGCCCTTGATCCAGACCTGAGGCACCGCTGACAAGTTCTGTGACCTTGGGCAAATCCTTTTTCCTTTTCGGATGGCCCCTTGTCAGGTTCCCTGCGGAACTGAGGGACCTGAAAGCAGTTGTCCTTTGAGTTGTTCAATTCTGAGCCATCTGAGTCTCCAGGGCTGGGGGTTTGGGGGACTGAGGCGGGTCTGCACCTCCTGCCCCATCCCAGTCAGTGAGGGGCCTGCCTTGTGACCTAGGCCAGTGTCGCTTAAAAGGGCCTGTTTCCCTCGTCGCGATTGCTCACTGTCCTATCTGAATCTCTGTTTAGCAGGAAGCCGAGTCACTGTGCCCCTGCTTTTATGTGTCCTGTTTCTCTGTTTACCTGCTCCTGTCCCATGCACAGCATCCCAGACTGGGGTCGTCCTTAACCTCACCCTATCTGCAGAGCTAATGCTGCTTTCCGCCCACCAAGCTGCTGGGCATATTTTTAAAATGTTCTTTAGATAGTGGGGTGTTTTCTCATGTTAATGAATAACTTGGCCTTTGCCGAGGCACTTGAGTGTCTCTGGGATCCCAGGTGTTGGCAGCCATGGCTGCTGAGTTTGCCCTTGCTCAGAGGCTGGGAAGGGGCATGGTGTTTGCAAAGGATTCATTCCCAAAGGCTGTAGCACAGTCCCCACCCTCTCCTGGCAGCTGGTCCAGGTTAGCCCCCATGGGAGAAGCTTTCCTGGGGGGTTGCCCACCAACCCACTTTGGGAGAAAGCTGAGCCTTTTTTTCTCTTCCACCTCTGTCCTTTACTTACCCCTTCCCCTGTGGTAAACACCTCTGGCCACCAGGGAGTCTGCTGGCTGGCAACTGGCAAGGAGCTTTTTATTTTAATGTCCCGGCTTCTGGCTTGCTTAATCGGCCTGCACTTAGGGTGGGGTGCCTAGGTCGGTGGCCTCTGGGAAAGGTCCCACCCAGGCCCCAGCAGCCCTGGGAGCATGCGGAGAACCCTAACTTGTTTCTCAGGTACGGGTTTGTGCTCTGTTCTTCCTTCCCTCTTTGGCCATCACCTTGTGAATGCCTCTGCGCCCTGGGCCTGCCTGCCCAGCAGCACCCCATCTCCCCTCTGGCTCCTCTCTCTCTGATCAGCCCCACCTGCCTTGACACCCCTACCGGCACGCACCTTCACCGTGACCGCTACTCCAGTCACCTGTGTGTTCTCAGACCACACCCACCTTTGCTCAAGCTGTGCTTCCCTCCAGGAATGTCGTTCCTACTCTTGTCCCCTCACCCTACAACACCCAAGTCCTGCCCATCCCTCAATACCATGTGGACCTCTCTCGCGTAGCTGCTGTTGCTCATCCTTGTCCCATGAGACCAAACTGCCCTGGGTTGAGAGCGAGGCAGGCTTCTTGACTGTTCACACCCCAGAAGCCTGTCTCTGGGCCAGGCCTCCAGCCTGGGTTCAGTGGCCTTTCCCCTAGAGGTGTGTGGCCAAGGAGCAGTGGGGTCTGCTCGTTTTCAGGGTCTCCACAGTAAACACTGGCAGGGAGTGACTCGGAATGCGAACACGGGGCCGGGTTGGGGGTTGGGGAGGCAGCTGTCTTAGTCTGACCTGTGTGTCAGTGCCCGCTCGCCCTTTCTTCCACCACAGCAGGGCGCCTGTGGCCGGGCTGGCACTATCCTGTGAGCTCGGCTTGGTGAGAGTCAGCAGTTGAGCCAGTGACGAAGTGCACATCGCCTCCCAGGAGGACCACCCTGATGTGCAGACACATCCTGGACAGGGCTCTGTTCTGGAGCCTCTCTCATGTGCTGAGAGCATGGTCACACGCATTCGGATACAAATGTGTACATATGCCATGGCCGGTTTGGCTCAGCGGTTAGAGCGTTGGCCTGCAGTCCGGAGAGACCCGGGTTCGGTCCCCGCTAAGGGCATGTACCTCGGTTGCAGTTTGTCCCCGGCCCTGGTTGGTCGTGCGGGTGGCGGCCACTCGATGTGTCCCTTTCACATCGATGTTTCTCTCTCTCTCTCTCTCCCTCCTGCTCTATCTGAACAAAGAATGAAAAAGTGTCCTCGGGTGAGGATAAAAAAACAACAACAACAAATGTGTACATACATCCTGCGTGTACTTTCGTGTGCAGGGTGAGACCGATGTAACCGCCGCAGTCACAGAGCGAGGGGAAGGAAGCCCAGCCGGAAGCAGTGGTAGTGTCCTGTTGAGGCCTTCGGTGCACCTGAGAGCAAGCATACTGTATCAGGGTTGAGATATGACTTCTCTAGACTGACAGAGAGGCCGGGGGCAGGTGGAAGACCAGATTTAGAAGACATTTTTCCCATAGAAACTTCAGACTAGTTCCCCTTCCCTCTGCTTCCCCGAATACATGGCAGGGATGAGTCTAGTTACAAGCTTGATCTAAGTTTGAGTTTTGCAGCTCCTCATGGGAACCACAGAGGTGTTTCTGGACTGGGAGTCGGGAGGCCTGTCCCCGGATTGCTGGTGACTGTCAGCTCTTCCCCAGGCTCTCCTAGCTCCGGAGGTGGCTCCGACTAGTTTCGTTCTCACCGCCTAAAACCTTCTAGCTCCTCCTGCTGGTGTTCTCTGAGGGCCACTCTGGGCCTGGACTGGGGTCAGGGTGTCTGAATCCTGCCAGAGGAGTTGAGGGGTGAAGAGTGAGGCTTGAGTGCTGTGACATCACTTACAGCAGGCACAGGCCCCTCTTGGAGGCTGAGATGTCCTGTCTCCATCAGCTGCCTGGGCGTGTGGACGGGAAGTAGGGGCGTTCATCTGAGCAGGTGGTTTTCTCCCTTCCTTTGCAGGACAAGGAAGATGGGGAGCCAAAGACCAAGCAGCTAAGAGAAGGGGAGGAGGAGGGCGAGAAGCACAGGTAATGCCCATATGCATCTCCCTGCCCTACACACTCCTCCAACCCCTGTTGGTTCCCATATCCTCCGCCCTCCCAACACTTCGTTCAGAGTCTCTGCCTGTTTCTTCCTCTCCACCCCATGGCTGCCCTGTCAGATCTGAAAACGTCTCCCTCTCCCTAACTGGGGCTTCTGCGCCATCTGACTCCTAGCCACCAGCCTTCTCTTCTGATCCCACGTTAGTCTCCTCGCTTCCTCGCAGCCCCCGTGGCTTGGTGTCCAGCACCTGCAGAGCCAGGTCCAGCTCTCCCTGGTGTGTGGCTCCGCCGGCACTCGCGTTTCCTGACTGGCGTCTCCAAGCTGTCCTCACCTGGCGTTCCTTCCCCGTCTCCCTCTCTGACATGTCGCTCTTCCTGGGGAGCTCAGCTGGGGCCTCTGCTTTCTCTCTGTCTCTGCTCTCCCATCCCCCTTAGTCGTCCACGGACAGTCTTGTATCTTATTTTGCCAAATCCTGCCATCTGGTTGGGTCAACTTGAATTGCCTAAACAAAGCTCTCCTCCAGTGGTTGCAGGCACGTGAGGGCTGGAACCTCCCCAGAGATTACTTTTTGCATCAAAAATGCCTGGGACACGTTTTTAGAAGCAGTGTGTGGGGGAGGAGTGGCTGAGGGGCTGGTCCTCAGGAGCTGGGGAGAAGCTCCACATCTGTTAGCACTTCCGGCCCAGCCTTGAGCTGGACCTCAGGGTAGCTGTGGCGCTCTGCGGGGCCAGGCTTGGCGTCTGTGCGGGCCCTTGAGCTGGGCCTCGGGGTAGCTGTGGCGCTCTGTGGGGCCAGGCTTGGCGTCTGTGCGGGCCCTTGAGCTGGGCCTCGGGGTAGCTGTGGCGCTCTGTGGGGCCAGGCTTGGCGTCTGTGCGGGCCCTTGAGCTGGGCCTCGGGGTAGCTGTGGCGCTCTGCGGGGCCAGGCTTGGCGTCTGTGCGGGCCCTTGAGCTGGGCCTCGGGGTAGCTGTGGCGCTCTGCGGGGCCAGGCTTGGCGTCTGTGCGGGCCCTTGAGCTGGGCCTCGGGGTAGCTGTGGCGCTCTGCGGGGCCAGGCTTGGCGTCTGTGCGGGCCCTTGAGCTGGGCCTCGGGGTAGCTGTGGCGCTCTGCGGGGCCAGGCTTGGCGTCTGTGCGGGCACTTAAGCTGGGCCTCGGGGTAGCTGTGGCTCTGCGGGGCCAGGCTTGGCGTCTGTGCGGGCACTTGAGCTGGGCCTCGGGGTAGCTGTGGCACTCTGCGGGCCAGGCTTGGCGTCTGTGCGGGCCCTTGAGCTGGGCCTCGGGGTAGCTGTGGCGCTCTGCGGGGCCAGGCTTGGCGTCTGTGCGGGCCCTTGAGCTGGGCCTCGGGGTAGCTGTGGCGCTCTGCGGGGCCAGGCTTGGCGTCTGTGCGGGCCCTTGAGCTGGGCCTCGGGGTAGCTGTGGCGCTCTGTGGGGCCAGGCTTGGCGTCTGTGCGGGCCCTTGAGCTGGGCCTCGGGGTAGCTGTGGCGCTCTGCGGGGCCAGGCTTGGCGTCTGTGCGGGCCCTTGAGCTGGGCCTCGGGGTAGCTGTGGCGCTCTGCGGGGCCAGGCTTGGCGTCTGTGCGGGCCCTTGAGCTGGGCCTCGGGGTAGCTGTGGCGCTCTGCGGGGCCAGGCTTGGCGTCTGTGCGGGCACTTAAGCTGGGCCTCGGGGTAGCTGTGGCTCTGCGGGGCCAGGCTTGGCGTCTGTGCGGGCACTTGAGCTGGGCCTCGGGGTAGCTGTGGCGCTCTGCGGGGCCAGGCTTGGCGTCTGTGCGGGCACTTGAGCTGGGCCTCGGGGTAGCTGTGGCGCTCTGCGGGGCCAGGCTTGGCGTCTGTGCGGGCACTTGCTCACTGCGGGGAGACCCTGGCATCCTGAGAAAGCTGACCGCTGTGGGCCGTTTGTTGGGGGAGGTGTAGCAGGAAGGGAGGGATGCTCCCCGGAGGGAGTGGGGCCAGCCCCCAGGAACAGGCCTTCCTGATGCCACAGCCTCGTGTTGCCTTCACCAGTGTAATGGAACCCTCCCCAGGCTTAGGCCTCTCATCTCTGCCCTGTTCAGAAGCCCGTCTTGCAGGGGATGGGCCTTTTCAAGTTCCCAGGGGCGTGTGCACACACATGACATGGCAGCTTACCAGCTGTGTTCACAGCGGTCCTCAAGCAGCCCTGTGGTGTCCTTGCCACCTCACTTGGGCTCGGAGATAGTACAGCTGTGCCGAGAGGCTGGTGGTGCCAAGGGCAGCAGGGTACCCTTGCCACCCTGGCACTGGGCTGTGTTTTCAGGTTGGTCCTAAGCACCCTCGGCACTTCAGGGGGCCTTGCTGGTGACAGAGAGAAAGGCCGGGTGACCCCACCTCGTGGGACTTGGGGTGAGTGCCTGCATAGTTTCCCCCATTCTGTGCTAACTGCTGAGAGAACCTTTGGTTTTCTTCCGGTCTTCTTAGACTCTCAGTCCTTGGCCAGAGCCTGAGTCTCCGTGTCTGGCTGTCTTTGCTTTCCCGGGAGGCCCTTCTCTGGACCTCCTGCTCCTTGATGAAAAGAGAAGAGTCATAGGTTAGTGGTGGGCGGGCGGGCGATAGCAGTAGAAGACGGGAATGTTGAACCATGTGACTGATCTCACACATGGGGTTGAACAGCCTGAGGCATTTCATAATAAAAACTGAAAAAGAAAGCGAAGGGGACGACACAGGGCGTCAGGTTCCTGTCAATGGGCTCTGGGTAAAAGAGACCCCATTCACCTGCAAGGTCATTTGTGATGGAGCTGGAGGCCCCCTCTGCAGTCCCATGCTGAGCCCACCACGCTGGGCCCCTGTTCCTTTGCTCATAACAGCCCAGGGAGCAGGACATTCGATGCTGGACATTGAATTGGGTACCTGCTCATCTGCTTTTCTCTGATCCGGCCTCGAGGCAGTGGGGTGTGGTGGGAACATAATCGGGGGCCTGGCCTCTGCAGCTGCCCCTCCAGAGACTCTGGGCAGGTGGACTTGGACTCCTGTAAGCATCCCTGAGCCTGCCGGGTCAGAGAAAAGCAGATGAGCAGGTCAAGCTGAAGCAGAACCCAATTCAATTCAGTCACTGCCTTGGTTGTCAGGAAGCCCAGCCTTGGCTTGGAGGGGACCAGCATTGGTGGCCCCCAGGAAAAGTGGACTGTCCTGACTTGAACAGGCTGAGAGCCAAGGGAAGGCAGGGCAGAGCCTGTGTGGGTTTAACCCCAGACTACAGGGTGTAAGGACTTGGGCATGGGCTTTCCAGGAAGAGCGAGAGGCTAGGAGGGGGACCTTTCTCCTCATCTGTACCCCAGGTCTGGAAAGGGACTTCCAGCAGAATGCTATGGCTTGGGAGCAGGTGCCACAGCCCATGCCAGGCCCCTTTCACCAGTGGGGAGATAGGGGGTGACCTTTCAGCTCCACTGGGAGGGGGAGGGATGACCTCTGAGGCCAGCCGCTTCAGTCCAGGTCAGCCCAGGTGCAGGTAGGAAGCCCTTTGGGCACCCGCCCTTCTGATATGTAAAAGGAATGCAGAGCCCCGCTCAGGGCTGCCTTCAGCTGAGGGCAGCAGGACAAGGCCTCATGGAGACCGTGTCTCGAGTTGGGTCTGGAATCCCAGAAGGTGGGGTTTGGGAGTGAAGGCCCAGAGGTGTGAAGCAGCGGTGTGAAAGGGTGAGTGATGGAACCTTTGTTGAGTGATGGAACCCCCACTCATGAACCACAACCCGGGCTCTATATAGGTCACTGGAACAGGGAGGGAGGGTTAAGGGGGGCCTTGTAGGCACTGCACAGCCATGTGTCAGGTGGCCAGTTTCTTTGATTGGTGTTAACTAGTTCACTGTGCACTTGCTTTGACACTGGTTAGGACTTAGGGAAGTAAATGTTGAGGCAATCCTTCATTCAGCAGCAGACACCAGAATTGTAGGGACTAGGCAGATGGAGAGAGCTCAGGATTTATTTATTTTTTAATTCTCATCTGAGAGATATTTTTTTGTTCAGATAGAGTGGTAGGGAGAGAGAGAAACATCAATGTGAAAGGGACACATTGAGTGGTTGCCACCCCCACAACCCAACCAGGGCCGGGGACAAACTGCAACCGAGGTACGTGCCCTTAGCGGAACCGAACCCGGGTCTCTCTGGACCGCAGGCCGACGCTCTAACCACTGAGCCAAACCGGCCAGGGCGAGAGCTCAGGATTTAGACACAGCACTTGGGGTTGAGGCCAGGCTCCACCAATGATCAGCATCCTGATCTTGGACAAGGGTGTTGCCTCAATGAGCCTTCTCACCTGAGGCTCTTCAACTCGATGCGGAAAACAAACTTGCTTCCCTACTAGGGAACGGAGCAAATGCCCTGGCTGTTTACCTGGCTGTGCTGGAGCTTTGGGCAGAGAAGAAACTTTGGGCCCTCCGAGAGAGCCGAAGGACTCCGGACACCTGGAAAAGGCAGAGTTAACTGTTATACAAGGTCTATGCTGACGTTGCAAATAGGGAGTAGTTGGGAGAACAGCAAGGTGGGTGGAGAAGAGTAGAAATAAGGATATGTGACCCAAAAGCTAGTGCTTAGGCCCCCTTGTAGAGCTTCCGCTGGTACAATAGATAGCCCTCAGCCAGTAGGGGGCATCGTCTAACAGATTCCGCTTGTCTGCCCAGACACCCTGTGGGGCTGCAGTTCCTCCGTTTGTGGCTGAGGACTGGAGGCCGGCACCCAGGACCTCGCCCCTCGGCAGCCCTCTGGGCAGTCACCGCCCTGCTCTCTGTGCTCCTGCCCAAGGGTGCTTCAGAGTCTTGGCTGCTCACGCGCCTTTGCCTTTCCTTTGAATTGTAGAATCAGCTCATCAATACCTATTAAAAAACTTGCTAGGACTTTTATCGGAATTGCATGGCCTCTGGATCAAACACAATTTTTAAACTTTTTATTGTTCTCTTTAGGATGAATCCTGTCCCATCTTCACGTAACCAAACCCCCATCAGGTGGGAGTCAGCCCCCTGCAGGTCCATCAGCCCAGGCT